TACTGTCTACGTCCAGTACGAACTCTTGAACTACTTGCTTTTAATTTGACATTGTCTTGTGCTTTATAATTGCACAACGCAAACAAATCCTCTTCCCTCTCATGATTAAAAAAAGGGATGCATCCGAAAGCCAACCTTCATGTTCACTCTAATTAACAATGGAATTAAATTCAAAGTATTCACTGACATGACAGGGAATTCCATAAAGAGAAGACTTATGACATTAGTTGCCAATGTTTTGAGTAGATACGTTACTTTTCCAATTTTACCCTTTTATGAATTAAACCTCTAGGCTCTATATTATCTAAAAATATTATCATGTAAAATAACCGTTCTGTCAGTATTGCAAAAACATGATGTTGCACATCCATGCACACAATCACTTTGAAGATTCAGGCTAAAGCATGACTAAAACATTCCAATACTAAAGTTATAATTTTGCTAAATATTCAAATTCAAACCAGTTATTTTAAATTTAAGTAGCTAAATGAAACTGTTGAGAAGTTAGTGGGGAAACAACAGTAGGCAACATGGTTCTGACAGCTGGATGCTACTTCTGTGAAGAGATGACTGACATACAGCAGCTACGTCAGGTGGCAAAGAATGGCAAGGAAGTCCACATGAACCAAAGAAACTGGTAAGTCCAATACTGAGGTCTAACACAACAGGTTTTAAGTATTAAGCAGAAGGGTTAGTATTCTCTGTCACATCGAGTCTCCTGGCTTAAAGTCCACTGTGCTGAAGCAGACAACTTTCTAGAGAACTCCACTTAAAGTCAACCCGGTACGTCAGTTCCTTCATTAAGCACCTTTATTGCCATTTTATTCCTTGTCAATACTTCACAGTGATACAACAGGCTTAACATTAATCCCCAGTACATTCTTCCAATACAGTTCCTAGTTAAGTTGCTTCAGATGACTTGCATTGGAAAGGTAACTGTCAAGTCACCAATTCATCTGCTAGACATTAGATAATCTCGTCAGTCTTTTGAGTGCAATGGTATTCTGTGAATGCAATAGACACTTTTACATGACAGAACTTCATAGTATAGGAAGCTGGAGAAAGACAGTGAAAAGAGGATACCAAATTATTCAAGACGATTAGCAACCATCTTCAGTTTCATGATAAAGAGTTAAATGAACTGCACACAATTCGGAGGAGAGAGGGTTGAAAGCAGCACAATCAGAGGCAAAGTGCACCCAAGATGGAAACTTGACAGGGGACTTAAAAGGAAAAAAGAAATGTACAGCCTGCAGAAGGTTTCGAATAGCCTCAAGAATGTGTGTGAGCCTGACAAAACTAATGAAGATAGTATGTTGCCTAATCAACTGATGTCTCATTAAAAGAAAACAGGCAAAGATATTTGGGTCCACTTAGATATTAAAACCTAGCACTACTGTAACAAAAGCATCAAAGACACATGTAAATGGTTGCTGCAACTCCTAAACCTCTGACCAAGCAGTCTATGCCTTGACATAAAGGAGACATTATGCTGACAGACATATTTAGAAGGATCATATATGCTGGGTCAAACTAAAGATCTCTGAAGCCCTGTATGTTGACAGCAGCCAGTAGAGGATGCTTCCAGATCTTCACAGATAAATCTTAAGTATCTAAACATTTGGGCTCTGCAGCCCTTTTGCAGGCAAAAATCCTTGGACAAGAGTAACCTGAGTTTTCTTTGAAGTTGCCACAACTCCTAATGAAGGAAGTGACAGCTGGGATTAGCGTGCACTTCAGCTAACCTTAAGATTCAGGCAACGTTTTTCTCTGAAAATTAACCCGCTCCCATCAGAGTAAAATCAGAACACTTTATATTGTTTACATTACATTTACATGTTGTTTTATAGCTCACAGCACCCTTTTGAAAAAATAGGCCAACAGTTCACACTTATGTACTTAAACTTTATTTCTTCATAATTACAGGCTATGGTTAGAATTTTTAAACAAAAGGGAAGTCTATAAATAGATGCTAATCCCAGTTGAAGAAGTTTTTTTAAAAAAAAACGTTAAAACTTCATAAAGTAATGCCATTTAGCTCACAGCAGTGGTTTGTTGGTAGTCTGAGTAAAAGTACTATAGTCAGAGTCAGTAACATGAAATGTAACATCAAATGACTCAAAACTTTAAATTCCGTAAAGGAAAGCAGGAATATATATATATAATATATACATATAATATTGTGTTGGTCCACTGAGTATACATTTTTAACAAAAGATAAGAAACTATGTAATCCAGTTAAGCATATGATTTGCAAGATTAGTGTACACTCATTACAAAGATGTATAGATAAGTTATAACTATTTAATACTTGCAAAAATTTTAAGTTACTTTTTTTGAGCAGGTGTTTAAATGCTCATTTCCCAGTGCAAAAGAAAAACCATCCCAGTCAGGTTACCCATTTTTCCTGAAAAATTGAAAACTACCCTCAAAATCGTGCAACAGCAGCATTGATCGGTAATGGGAAGAGCTTAAATATACTGAAGCATGGCTGAGTTCTCCCCCTTTTGCCCCCAGTGCTGTGTGTTGAAACACTTCAATTTCCTCCACAGAAATACCACAGGTTAAAAGTGCAAGAAAAAAACCCAATCTCTTGATGTTTATGCTGCTGCCATCCAGTTTTCTTAGATAGGACAAAAGATTATTATTTTTGGAATTATTTTAATGAAATTGATTCTCCAGAATAGAGTTCTTTCAAAATGAACAATAAGTTATTTTCATTAAGTTATTTTCATTAACATTCTATCAATCCTATTCTGACTCAGTGACCACAAAGAAATAATTCAGTTTAAGGTGCAACTATCAGTTGGCATTCAATAAATTACATATACAGAAAACAACTGTGGTTTAAAAAAAAAAAAAAAATCAGACTACCTGTTTTTTCTTTCTATTTTCAATCCTATTTCAAATTGAACTTATAACTTGCCAGTTCAGCTGCACATTTCACAGGCAAAAGTGGCTCAAACAGCAGTGGGGTCTCATAATTTGACAGTCATCTTGGCCAACAGCAAATGCACATGGATCTTCAACTTAATTGCTTTATAAAACAGAGTAACAAGTCTGCCTTAAAACCTATGACCATGCAAGAAAAGCCTTAAAGGTTTCAGAAAGACACACACACTCTTTCTGACTTAGACTCCATGAAGATTGTTATTTCAAATCCAAATGTAGAATCTTCTATGAAGAGAAAAATCTATATGCATACACGTAAAATAAAGCACTCCACAACTCTGGCATTACTAAAATCTCTTTAGTAGGATAAAAGATTTCAAATGACTAACTGCTTGAGGGGAGACAGTCAGCCATGACAGAATAATTGCTATATTCACTTTATGCTCAATTACCAACTGCTGACAGATTACAGTCAAACTACAATCTCACTATCTGCATTTTAAATCGATTTGCTTACAGCTGGGAAAAGTACTTTGTTCTCCTGAAAACTTGAGAGAAATTGAATGCTAAACTTAAGTTATTCAAACAATAACCAAAAGGATTTAATTTAGCAGAAACATTCACACCACTTTCAGAAATTTAAAACCTTTCATAGTTTCTTGTATATATGTATTTTCTGATTAACATTTAAATAGGTTAGATATTCAGGAAAAGGGACAAAACAGTTGACATAAGACAAAATCTTATTCTAAACTTCATGCTTCTGATATTTCAGATTTACTGAGTGCAATAGCCAGTTCCAAGTCTTCTTGCTCTTGCTGTTTTAGTCTTGCCAATCTTTCTTTCTCTTCTCTCTCACTTTCCCTCTTAGCCCATTCAATCATGTCTTCCTCAGTAGAATACTGCATTTTTAAAAGACAAAATAAACCAGATTAATAATACAATGATAACTAATACCGTCCAAGTACTTGGTTTAAGGGACAATTACAGTTTTGCAAAATATTTTATATATTCTAGCCTTCAAATATTACTTGCTTTTAAATACACTATTACGATTAGCTTAGTCTAAGGTTTAACTATTAAGAACTGCATCCAACTGATGTATTTTTATGAAATATGCCATGTTTCGAAATTCAGTATTGAGTTTCAAAAAAGTTACTGAGCAGAAAGTGCTATAATTTAAATTCAAACTATTTTGGATAAAAACAACTCTCTAAGAAAAATTTTTAATAAATCAGGAGAACATTTTGCAAAAAACACATCCCTATCCGCACTGTGGGACATCCCGATTTCCACTACTTTCATTCGGGATGATTTTTACAGGTGACAGCGACTACAAAAATTAGCTGTAGAATGACTGTTTTTAATTGTGCAGATGAAAAATACTTCTGCCAAGAAGCAGCAAAATAATAAGGTAACTGTACAGTTAGAAGCCTAGTAGTAATACAGAGAAAAGTCAGTGTGATATAAGAGAAAAAAAAAAAAAAAAAAAA